GCATACCACTGGGATTCTGACTGCAGTTCATTTTCGCGCATTCGTATCTGATAGAAACAATCTTTCAGATCGATCGCACTGAAAATAGTACTGCCAACCATTTCAGCAAAAATCATATCCTTGCGTGAGACCGGAGTCTGTGAAGGTATGGTCTCATCGTTCAATTTGATAAATTGTGGACAATGCGCCAACCACCTGTGGCTTTCTTCACACAGAAGAGTGGACTGCTTACTGTCATGCACGTGACCAGCTTTCTATCGCTGCGTAAAGATCTCGTCAATTGGGATGATTTGTTCTTTTGGTAACGGCCACTGCCGTGTGATACAACACTTCGTACCAGGAAGTATGTCCATCTCATGACGAATGCCTCTGTCAGATGGCAATTCGTCCGGCACCTTGTCTGGAAATATACAAGCATATTCCTTGACAAGTCCATACACGGGGTTCGAGCGTGAAGTTTCCCACGACTAATCAATAAATCTTTTCTTCCGTGTCTTCTCATCAAATACTTTTGAAGTATTGATGTCATCGTCGATAGTTTCTTCGACGATCGCACATATTTGCAAAATCTCGCCTTTTGCCAGCACAGCGTCTTCTTGCTCATCAAAGGCAAAAACACAATTTTCTTTTTGAACTTGGAGAATCTTCAATCTTCACGTGACACATAACTTCGACGTCACTTTCTACGCTGTAGGCCACAATATTTATAAACCACGCTAAAAGTGCCTTGTTCTTGAGCACTATCTTCATCAATTCAGCTTGTACCTCAATCAGGGGGGCACGCAAATTTTTGACGGAAAACTCTTTTTGGTGACTTTCTTATTCATCTCATGTGGGATCAGAGGCAAATACCATCACCATCGACCTTGACTTCCGTGTCGATAGCAAAGGGGACAGTTCTTTTCTGGCGCCTGATTGCTCCACCCCCAGTAAGCGTCTTTACCTTCGTCTTCCTGGGCTTGTCCTGTCAACATGGGGGTCCATCGCACACCACAATATCACTTGGGACATCTGTGACTTCTTCAACAGATGCATATGGCCATACTGTTTCGTTCAGCTCAAGTTAGCGCTGCATGACTTGTTGACGATAATTTTCATATTCAGATAGCCAATGCTAGGCTGACAACGCTTCAAGCATGGCATACCAAGGATGATATCAAGCTTATCATCGAGGTCGAGTAAGATAAACTAGTCTTTACCTCGAAAATCCTCAAACTTCATTGCCAAGCGAATGGCTTGCTTTGGCATCTTCATTCCATTCGCTAAACGAATGATCATTTCTTCTTTCACATTGGACAGGTTAAGACCATGCCCAGTCATAACTTTCGCTCGAACAAAGTTGTTCGACGCTCCAGTGTCAATTAAAGCTCGTAGCAGATTCTCAAACCCACCCACAAAGACTTTTCGGACAATAAAAGTCGCACTTTGCCTGACACTTCCATCACCCATAGTGGAAACTGTATGTGCATAATGCACTTTAGGGTCGAAGTTCTGTGTATCCACATCATCTACATTAATCTTCTTGGGCCCAGTAGGGAGCCCCGCCCCTACTGGTCGCTTCAATTTGTTGACTCTTGAATTGCTCGAACCGGCGATCTTTACGGTGTCCGCGGTTATCCGAACGAGCACCCTGTGTCGGCTGCCGACTCGGCAACAGTTCCGGGCAATATGGCCCGGCTTCCCACAACGGAAACGCTTTCCATCGTTGCGAGAACGCTCACTTCCAGGTGTAGAAATGTACGAGATGTCCATTAGCTTTGGATCATCACATGTACCGATGGACTGGCGCGCTTGCCCCGGTACGAAACCATTGAACTTGGCTGCTTGAACTATTCTTGCATCGCACGGTTGATGGCAGCATCCATCGTCCTGGGATTCCCACGAAACAATTGATTCCGGATTGAACCATCATTCAAGCCCGCCATGAACGTACAACTTGCGTTGAAACGTCAATTGGCTCGTCGACAATGCTTGATACCAAGTATCGAGCACGATATGCATACGAGTGTCAGTCGTAACGACCTTCACGAAGCTTCAAGAGCTCGGCATGGGCACAAAATTCACTTTGTCGCGGCCCAAACGCCTTCGTTAGCCTGACTTTGAAGTGTTCGTAGCTAGGAAGGCAGTTTAAATTGGCTGAACGCTTCCCATACGCCCAACCCCTTGCACGACCCGCAAGGTTGGACATCGCGAACAACGCTGCCTCGCAGTTTTCTTGCAGTGATTGCTGCATCCAACTCGACAAGCCATTGCGAAAGAGGTTCGCTCTTTCCATCACGGTACAAATACTCGTTCGATTTCAATGGCATCGTTCAGTATGAAGAAATAGGGGTTACGACCTGCTTCCGAGATTTCATAATCTCACGATGCATGAAACTGACGGTTGTGTTTTCTAAGGTTTTGAAAAAGGTGACTGCAGTATGCCACCTACTGCAGCGTCTCCGATGACGCCTCGAATCCGCTCAAGCGCATCCACTCATGTGAAGACAAATGAGGAACATCTTATTCGTCAATACCTCAGTTTGCGGTACTGATGGACCAAGGGTACCCCAACTCCTTCCATGTCACTTGAACAAGGACAAGAGTATGGCTTGGACTGGAATGCGCAACGTGCTCTAAAGCCGTATAGTCAAATTAAAAACGAGTATCGTTGAAAAGACCGCTCTAAGTGTATCCTATCTGCCGAAAAGCTGGCTTAAAAAATACTTTTTCTCGCCAACCCTCTTCGTGTATTTCACGGAAGAAAGCATCAATGGCGTCATAGTATTTTCGCTAAAAGCGTCATTGCCGCGTGATGCCAATTTGGCTCAAGAAGTCAAGACACAACATGCTTTCCGTCGGCAACACACACAGTAGGTCTCCTGTCACCATGTCATGGTATATCCTAAATGAAATCTAAAGTGTACCCGTAGGATTTTTTAGGGTAGCTGTCGAATCCATTCCACTTAGAGTCTTACGAGTGTATTCAAAGACAGTTCCGTCCATGATGGATGATGAGCTCAGAAACGACCATATTTATCGGAAAAATTCGTCCTCGAGCAACTTTTGTACGCAATCCTGGGGAATAGTAACATCATTTCTATAATAGCTTCTACCGTAGCTAAGAGTAGACCTTGTAGCCCCTAGAACGCCCCGGTCACTTCATTCATGATTGAATAGTATCTATCACCACGGTGAAAGTATCGCACGTAGTGCTGACTCGGCAGTACCTTCATGTGGGAACAATAATGAGTCATCCTCCTGCACTTCAGAGCCTTTATATTTGCGAATTACAGGCACCACTTGCTCTGGCACGGGAGACCACGACGAACAGTCGCTCAAACTCTCCAGAGTATACGGCAATAAAAGATAATAGCTGTTTGTAGCCGTCCCACCAGACATACTATGGGGGTCATTCCATTCAACCTTCTGTTTTTGTCTTAATAGAGAGTTACTCTGAAGACGGCGATATACGATCGTTTTTCCGATTGTAACCGCGGCTCACTGCCGCTTCTGTCTTCCGAACTCTACTGTAGACACTAAGAAATGTATTTGCTTTCAATTTGGACATCCCCATGTACTGCACAGCCGTTAAAACTTCATTTCTAATTAATGAGGGTACTTGCTAAGTTGATGACTTTCAAGAGCCCCAGGAGCAAAGAACGTGGTACCAATCCTTACATTTTTTGTGATCCATAGCTTGTGACGTATTAGCCACGGTATACCCAGGTGAAGACCATACCGCAAATCCAGCTTCAAGACAAGACATCACCTTTGACTCCAACAGAAGACTGCGTACTTATCACTGATTCGATTTAACCGTAGGCATACGCATTAGTAATCAGCTTTCAGCATAATGTAAACTATTCATACACGGGGAACCTAGCCCGTTTCGTCTCTTGGTCTATAATGATTTGTTTGACTGTGCATCAATCAATACCATATATTTGCTTAAATGGACTTTAATAAACTAGAGAGTGTCTAAATGATCCGTTATCTTGTGTATTTGTGAAGAATAAGAGCTGATCCATTCATTAGATAGAGGTGAGATAACTGTTGTTTACACCCGAGTTGTTCACTATGGAAATGCGCCAAGTTATCTATAGGTGCTATTTGCGATACTCAAATGTAGGTTTGCGATTTCTATTTCAGTTTTGCAGTCCTGATCGTAAGACTTGATTTCTGTGACTAAAAATAACTAGATCAGAGAATGTATGTGCTACTGCATACCAGTTGGCCAGATTCCGACTATACGAATTGTAATGTATGTTGCTGTTTATTTCCGACAATAAGAGGTGGAGCAACGAAAACTACTTCGTGAATTACTATTTAACTGGAATTTGCCTTGCGGCATGCTGACGATTTCAACAACAGTTCTACCCACACAACTGACGCGGCCAAGATGCTCACACGGTAGCTGTATGCCCAACTGATTTGTCGTCCGTCTTGGATTCAGGTTTGAATTTCTAGGTCTCTTGCCAAAATATTTGAATTACTGAAACTGAAAGCTTTTGGTCCAGCAAATATAACTTACTGCTTGTAGGTCAGGCGTGAGTGGAGTAAGCCTAGTATGGCGTAATAATAGATCCATGTTCGTTCATGCGCCGGTACCGGAAGAAGCTCATGGGGTGCCCTTTGACAGAATAGCTAAACCTCTTTCGAAAAAGGCAAGCTTACCGACCTTAAATGGTCAGATTTGATCATTACGTTGCAGTGCGAACTAGCACATGAATTAGTGGATCAGATGACTCGGCGGGTAAGCCTGCAGCCAGCACAGCTTCTGGCACATTTGCAACGCAGAAAAAGCAGAATGATAGCGTGAGCTGGAAAGGAGATCATCGGGGTCATTAAGCAAAACAGACGCAGAGAGTGGTGACACGCTGACGAAACCGCGAGAGCGATACAACAATATCAACGACGGCACAACCTCTTGTCAGTAAAAATATAAATTTCGATTGAAGCGCGTACAAATGCTGTAAGTAAAGGTATAATCATACTATCCTTACAATTTGGGTTAATGCCTAATCGTTGCCCTTCTTGTTGTTGTAGTAAGCCTCGTACATCTTCCAGACTTCATAGTTCGGATTATTGACGATGATGGATTCATCCAAGCCTTCAAAAAAATCCCTGTGAACTTGTCCAGGAGTTTTACCCCGAGTGTACCAGAGTTTGAATTGAATCTTTTCCTTCATGGTGGGATCTCTCAAGTTATCGATAGATGTCGATGTGTCCTCCGCCCGTAGACTCCTTCCAGCCGAGACGATGTCATGAGTCGAAACCTGAGTCTCAGCGACGTTGAAAGGCATAAGATCTGTCGAGGCGAGAGCAGTATCGCTGCATGCGAGAGATGCAACAGTGGTCATCAATGCAAGTTTGTAGAAAAAACGCATTGCGATCGTTGATCCTTGAGACTTGACACTTGACGGTAAAAGTCGTACTGGCGTGCTGTCGGGCAACGTGTCCTATACATATTACAGTGCATAAACCTCTCGAAACACGTACAAGTATGCAGCGGAGATTTGTTAACATGTGGAGTGTTTCTTCCTTGCAGCGTGGGATCGCGTCAGAACATGTGCCTTCTTTCAATTAGAAGTTGGTCTTAGCTATGCAAATGCAATTACTTCGTTCATCGCGATGGTGACACGTTTTCTTGTTGTTCGGACATCATCACGAGATGTTTCTACGCGATCGTAATTAGTCGTAGGTCATCAAATCTGTGAGAAGAATTGACCAATTGTGACAAAAATTTATTTGAAGAAGCCGTTTAAAATAGCACAGCTCTCAAAGCCTTGGGTGAATTGAATAAGGAATAACAAAAAAGTTAAAGCTTGGCGTGAATGCGACAGGTGCAGAACGATTACCGACTAGTTTCATGGCTAGAATATATACGCATGAAGCGAATGACGTTGTTTTTCGCAGAAATTTACGCTCTTGTGAAAGAAAATCTTCGGGTTCATGGACAAGTTGGCCGTCACAATGAACGCAAATGGAATCACATCTTAAATTCTGACTTGAGCAGTTCTTTTTAATTTTATCTGGTGACGCTGACGGACTGCCAAAATTTGCCGTCATGCTCTTATATTGAAATTATTCCTCAATCTGCCATCATCTATTACGCCTGATGAACTTCAATATGATTTCACATGACCTGTACATCAGAATTGGTCGGAAGGAGAACAAGTCCGTCTTCCAAACTCTACATTTTGAAATGCAGAGAAGCAAGACAAGTTATCATCAAAATATCTACGCAAGGATATTGCGACTTCTCAATTGATGCGTCTCATCCTTGCGTTGGCGTCATGCTAGTGTTCTCTGCATCGTTCTAGTTCTTCAATTGACCACCGAAGTGGCTATTGCATAACGGTTGCATGTATGAAAAATATTGAATTCAATCTGAACAGATAGAAAAATGATGGCCGAGATAAAATAGGTAGTTATATAATTATAATCTCGCGTGTTAATTTACGCTTTGTCATACTTTGCAACGGGGCTGCCGGGCACCTGCACAGAGGAAGATTTGACTCAAAGGGCTCACGTTCATAATGCGCAGTAGATAAGTTTGCACTTTTCACCCAGAGGAACTACAGTAAGTAAATGCTTACTTTCTTTAAGATTCCATAAACATGTACATATGATAATTGTTACTCTATCCAATAAAAATCCATTTTGCGCTTCATTAGTACAGTAGAACCTGTCTAAATTAAACCTGTTTAATTTAAAACCCGCTCTAAATTGACCGATATATATGGACCCATGTTGTGCACCATACATATGCTACCCTTCCTTATTTAAAACCCTCTCTAAATTAAACACTGTACCCCAGTCCCAACATGTATAGACAGGTTTTACTGTACCAATATAGGTATCTCTGAGATTTTCAAGAATAATGTGAATATTGTACGACTGTGATTGTCATAATCGCATAAAAAGTCTAAAATGCACGTACGTACATGTAGGGTACGTACTGACTGTAACCTGTTCCCTTCCACACCACGACGTGAATTTCTTGTCTTTTCTAATATCGCAAAGAAATAGCGAACACACCCTATGTTCTATGGGAACTTGTGCAGCGGGGCTGCCGTAGCTATTTGCTTAGCGAATGCTAAGCTAAGGTCACCGATTTACGTTCTTTACATGAACCAGTGAGAGTGTAGCGGATCGCAATTCGCTACCTCCAAGTACTTAATACCTTAACCAAGGTAGAGACGCTCTTTTGGTCAAGCAACTATATTTAAGTGTTTTAGTTGCGGCAGAGCCGCCAGTATCTAAAACCTTAGCTTTTCCTGATTATTAAAGTAATACTTAATCATATAGTAAAGCCTAATTAAGATGATAACTACTAGCAATCCTACCGCGTAGTGACTTCTTGTTACATGGTAGCCACACCATTGTATGATTACACCAACTTAAGTAATCCATACCTATGTACGGTCACACCATCTTTTGTGACCCGCCCTTTCATACAAGGGAACGTGTTACCCCGTTCCTCCATTGAATTTGTGAATAATCACATTTCACATTAAACTTTCACCTCATGAGAGGCTGGCGTATCTGAGACACCATTACGTATTTAAGAACAACCTTAAACATTCTCCGCTCAGTGATCCATGTGTCTATGACACGCAAAACACGCAGTCTAGCTGATTCCGAGGGCAAAGCCCTTCTTCTACTTCTGCACAGGGCACATCTCCGGACAGTACATTCGCAGCTTCACGAAAGCACATCCCAAGCCCCCGGCAACCGAGCGCAACACACCGTGCCCGCACCGGGCGACAGAATTCCTCGTCGAGGATTTGGAGGAAGCTGACTACGAGTCGTACTCCTTTCCCAGCATTGATAGACGAGGAGGATGAGGTCCAAACGGCGCGATGTGAGCTCAGCTCGAACCTTGCGGGTACCGTGTCCTTTCCCCGACCTATCGTCTTCCGGGAGAAGTGGTATGGTTACGAATCGCCTCGACAAGGAACAGGAGCAGCAGTTAAAGGCTGCCCACAGGGCGGCTCTCATGCGCTCGTATCCACGTTCGGTCCTACACCATCGTGAAGAATACGGTTTACGCTCGGCGTTTTCCGCTACTGAAGCAAAAGGCTCGATCACTCGATCGTACGAAGTCGGGCCCCCGGCCACTACACAAGCTGTACTTGATCAGCGGAAGCTCTCCGAGCCTCGCTTTTTGGCACCCCGAAAAATCCCAATGGATCGGTGCTGCGCGCTTAGAATGGAGGCGCTCCTGTCCCCGCAACGAGGACTATTCCTGTGGTGCTCGCCCCTGGCGAAACCGCCGCAGATGATGATGAACTCTTTGAGCGATGGTTGCAGCGATGCCGATTGCTTTCCTTGCTGTCTATCTTACAGCAAAGTCACAAGGAAGCGGACGTGCGCGTAGACGCCATCTTAGTTTTGAGTTTGCCAAACTCAAGGTGCAACGCTGACTTCCTGCGTATTGTCGCTCTGCGACATATGGAACAATCCATAACGCTTCTGCGAGCTCTGTGGTTTCTCACACGGATGAGTCTACTGCAACAGCAGCTCAGGGCCATAGCTTGAGCTCAGCTCATGGCCCTCCGGATTCCCGGGCTACAGCCAAAAAGCGCGGTGCGCAAGACGACGGGAAGCGTCATGATCCTTCTGATCATAAGGTCTACGACGTCTGGGCAGTCTTGCCGAAGTGGCATCGCAAACTCCCAAGAGTTCTCGGAGTTTAGGTATTCCCGCCGCTCCATAAGAAATTGGGTTAAACCCCAACGACGACTTCGAACTACAAGGCGTTCCACGTGGAAGTTGACGCAGCCATTCTCATTGAGAAGAGTCGGCGGTGAGCGATGACGACTTGGTCGATCGCCGTCCGGTAACTCGCGATGCTCTTCGAGCATTGGAGGACAAAGTCCGTCATCATCGCTCTGCCGAGCATCTCTCCGAGGTCGCCTACCACTGTACAAAAGACCTCGAGACGCAGGAGCACTTTCTGCGCCGACTGCCACGCATTGAGAATTATCGTGCTCAGTCGGAGCGGCTCCTAGCCGTTGAGCAGGCGAATACGTCATTTCTTGCGGCAGTGTTGCGCCTTGCGCCGTTGGAAACGAACGTTGCCGCACTCCGTGCTCAGAACCAGTTGCTGGTCTAACGTTTGGATGGTCGAGCGCGCTTGGGCGACGCCAACGCTTCCGCATTCACTTGCGTCGGATCCTGGTACGGCTAAAGCAAGCCCAAATAAAATACTGGGTGTGGGCGAATCCTTCTCGGAAAGTATGGCGTAAGGTACACAAACGCACGAAATCACTGAATCTACGCAGTCCTTGCTAGCGCACTACCTTGAATGGCTCGAAAAGCTTGGTCGGAGCTTTTCTTAAAGACAACAGAGACCGCATGTGTAGGAAGGTTCTTAGCATCTCATTAAACTAGGTCCCCGACCTCAAACTTTTCCACATCTCTTCTGCTTCTTCCATCTGCATATTCTTTTTGCATGTCTTGGCTTTCAGCCATCGCGTCGTGAACGTGACTTCCTTACGGACAGTGAGGGGGCTGACATCAGCTAGCCGTTCGGCTATTCAAGCCCGGAGCCATGGGTTGGTGCTGTAGGCGAGGATTAACAAACCCATTCACGTAGAACGGCGTGTAGCCGGTAGATGAATGCACTGCATTGTTCAGAGCTGACTCTACGAGTGGCTGCATGGTTATCTGTAAAGAGCGTACTCGGCGACTTTATTCACGCGTTCAGTCTAATAATTGTCCTGCGGATGGTCCGCTGCTGACATAGTCAACTTAGTTCCCAGCACCCTAAAGTTTGTAGACCAAAACTTCCCCGCTAAGCGTGGGTCTCTATGAGAAAATTTACTCCGGGAGTCCAAGTTGAGTCCATGTTATCGAAAGATACGATCGACAAACAGCATCGCTGTACCGACACCGTCGATGGTGTCCGGCATCGCCGCAACATGAATCATCTTGTCCAAACGGTCGGCAAAGACCACGACATCTGTGTTGCCCACCGATTCCTTCGGCAAGTCATTTTCAAAGTCCATACTCATGGAGGGTACAGGTAAACTGGCCAGCTGGCGGCGCCTCATTCAGAGATGGTTTCACCCTTTTCCACGTCTCGCACGTGCGCACATATGCGCTCGTCCATTTGTACAGCTTGAGCCACCAGTAGTGGCAACTCACAGAGCTGTACGTTTTTTCACAACTGAGTGCGTTGTCGTGAGCCTCATTGAGTATATGGTATTTCAAGTCCTCATCGCGAGGAGCCAAAATTCGTGGAGTATCCGTCGAATCGGTGCTACAATACAGCAACCCGTTATTCAACGAATATCGGTGTAATTGGGCGCGCAAACGCCGACAATTTCTTGTCCGAGTTTTCAAAGCCTGTAGCAGCGCTACGCACATACCATTACCCGCGTATGTGGCGCGGATCAAATCCATCGCTGACGACGTCACTGTCGTGATATGAGCAAGCTTATAATTCGGTCTGCGTGACAATGAATCAGCCAAAGCATTTTGCTTTCCTAGCTTATACTACGTCTCAAAGTTATATCCAGCGAAGAAGGAGACCACCTGGCCATCCTCTGCAAGAAGGAAGGCGACTGAGTCGCAGTGAGTTATAACGCATGATCTTTGTACATCACGAACGCTTTGGATCCGAGCAGGCGAACCCTGACATTGAAAGTTCATCGCAAGTACTTTCTTTTCGTGAACTGGACAGTTCCTCTCTGCAGCCTTGAGCTGGCGAGATTCAGACGCGATCACCCGATCTCACCCCTCGGTGTCTGCTTGCAGCAGTGCACAACCGATGACAAAGTCCGAAGCCTTATAAATGACACTAAAAGGACGATCGGGGTCTGGCGACGCCAGTATTGGAACATGAAGAAGGCTGTCTTTGACTCTGTCAAAAGTCTCGGATGCTCGGTGTTCCAACACCATTCCTGATGCTTTTAGGGAGATAAGACAATGGTCGTGCCATTTCCACCTAATTTCTCGCTGTACTTGTGCAAGTAGTTGGCGAGGCCAAGCCACTTTCGCAAGTCCTTTTGGTTCTTTGGAATCGGCCAGTCCACAATGGCCTTGATCTTAGCGGAATCTGCTCGAAGGCCAAGCATCCGGATGAAGCACCCTTGAGGGGGGGGGGTTGTTGGCGCCGAAGATGCACTTGTCTGCATTAAAATTTGTGCACATGCACTCGAGAACCACTCTTAAATGGACGATGTTGTTCTTGTCATTGGAGGTGTCGTCAAGGTATGCTTGTGCATACGCCCGGTGGTGCCTGAACAACTGCGTCACGAGACGATTAAACGTTGCCGGTGTATTTGACAGCCCTTGGGCATCACCAGCCATTCCCAGAGCATCCCGCTCGGAGTATTCACCGCTATCAGCGGGATATATCACGTTGAATCGTCTGTGCCGGGATGGTGGCAGCGTTTAGCTTATTGTGAGCGCGAACGATACGCCACTTGTCGTTCGGCTTC